TCCGGAGTCTCCATTTGGAAGAAGAAGCAACGGCAAATCAAGAAGAGGAATGGCAATAATAGAGAAGGGACAGAAAATTAGGGCTTCTAATGGTTTATAAAGGGAGGAATATTAGGAATCTCCTAACGGTAACAAAGGGAAAGGTAGAACAGTGGTAAAAGTGTACAGGAAAAAGCAAATTAAACCTTGGATTCACACGTGCAAAGCACGTGTGAGATTCAGGCTATTTTTTTTCAAAAATAGACACTTAAGGGGGCGTCGTTCAACAACTATCGAAGTTCAGGTAAAAACGTGCAAATTTTGTAAGTTAGGGGGGCGTCGTTCAACAACTACCTAAGTTTAGGTAAAAACGTGCAAATTTTGTAAGCTGGGGGGGCGCTGTGCAAAACACCCCAAAGTCCAGGGGGTAAAATGCTTTTTACCCTAAATTTTATTTTCTTTTGAATTTTGAAATATTGAAAAATTTCACAATTATTATTTTCACTTATAAATACCCGTAATCCAATATTCACGACTTTTATTTTATTTAGTTTATGTCGCAAGGTCCTAATCATATCATTTTTTTCTAAAAATATTGTTAGTGTTTAAATTCTATTTTTCTTTTGTAATTTTGAATTTAAAGTTAATCTCAAGTTTTTTCAAGTTTCAATTTTCTTACTTGTAATTATTTCGAAAAAAAAACGAAAAACGATTCGGACCCGGACCTGACCAGGACCCGAATGGACCCGCCCTGGACCCGGACCCGCCTCCCCACGGGTCGGTTTCGGGTCCTCTAAAAGTCGGACCCGGACCCAGACCCGACCCGCCCCGTGGCCATGTTTACCTCACCCCATCACATCCCATTCTACTTATTTTCCTAATTTCATGCTAGTTAGATTTTTCCTGGCTATTCGTCTAGTTAATCATATTAATTAAGTGTATAAACTTGATCAATATATATCTTTATTGATATTGTTAAAATACAATCTGAAGATTTCTTTAAAAATTAGAATTATTGTACAAGAACCTTTGAGTCATTTTCACCTGGAAAAGTGTGTATTGACATGTGATCAGTATCATTCGAACATAGGTATTCGCCTTTGGTAGCAATTATGGAGACTCATGCTTAATTTGTTATTAATAATTGAGTTGTAGAATTATAGTAATTTGATCTTGGTAATAAATTATAATCCATGCGGAAGAGAGCTATAATTAACATAGTCTTTTAGGTTAATAATTAGGGTTTATTAGGGATAACCCCTTTTTCATATTTTCTAATGAGGTAGATCCAATTAATTTTTCCCTTTTTGAGATACACCCAAATTTGCCAACTTGACAAAATATATTATATAATTTCCCTTTAATACCCCTGTTTTATTTTTGAACGGCATTTATTTTCTTAACTACGTCATATGAGATTTGCTGATACGTGATTCTAAAATCACGGAATAAATTTACGTGAGATCATTGGCCGTTCTATCAAATCGTGTCTATCAAATCGTGTACAATTTTTTTTTGAAGATTTATCCAGCGTTCCATCGTTTTAATCGCCTTTGAAGATTTCTTCACCGTCAAGCGGGTATGAATGCGTCTTTTTTCGCTTTTATTTTCGCTGTATGTACAGGATTGTCGTTTACGGTGGTTAGACATTTTTAAGAGTTGTGTTGATACTTGATTCTATTAAGTAGAACGTTTTTTAACAAAATTACGTCGTTTGGAAGAGGATGGTTCACGGAGATCGGACCAGGGTTGTTTTATATGAGCTTCGTAGTTGGTTTATGCAATAATCGGAATAATTGTCCGCTGTGGTTTTATATG